TTGGGATGGATATTTTACTTTAAGTGTAACAGTATGCAGGAAGAGAGGCATTTTACTCCTTTAGTTTGCCCTAAGTTATACTTTACCACTCTGCCACACGTTTCTAAAGTATAGAGTGGTTCAAGTACTATTAATATTTAAGTTTACACATACTCTTATAGCCCAAATGGTGATCTCATGTCTAATTTCTTTCTTTTTTTTTTTAAGATTTTATTTATTTCGAGAGAGAGAGCGCACAAGCAGGAGGAGGGGCAGAGGCAGAGGGAGAGAGAGAATCCCAAGCAGGCTCCACACTCAGCGCAGAGCCTGACACAGGACTCAATCCCACAACCCTGAGATCACGACCTGAGTCAAAACCAAGAGTCAAATGCTTAACCACTGAGCCACCCAGGCGCCCCTAATTTCAATATTACATTAGGGGCGCCTGGATGGCACAGTCAGTTAAGTGCCGACTCTTGGTTTCAGCTCAGGTCCTGATCTCGGGGTCATGAGATCAAGCCCTGCTTTGGACCCCACGCTCCATGAGGAGTCTGCTTGAGACTTTCTCTCCCTTGCCCTTTGCCCCTCCCCCACTAAAATAAATAAATAAATCTTTCTTGGAAAAAAAAAAGATCACTCATGAACCACATATGAAGGGAGAAAATGAATAGTGTACACTTTCTCTTTGGAGTTCTTAACTAGTTGAGAAATACACACAGAGTTAGATTGGGGTAAATAAATCAGCTGTCCCTGCCAGGTACCATCCTGGAGAGTTCACTACATGGAGAGGAAGACCGTGTGAACCCTGCAGGCCGGAGGGGAAGTCCTAGAGGGCCAGGCTCTTTGCTCAGGCCCTTTTCTTCCTCTCCAAGAGCACACCTTATGGTGAGGATGGAGGGAAGAGCAAGTGCTTACAAAAGTTGCTGTTTTATGGGCCAGGAGGGATGCAGGGAAAGAATCCTATCAAATGATTGTTTTAGCTAGTGTTTCAATGAGACATTATCATTTCTCCTTTGAGTCAGAGGGACACAGGAGATAAAATATGGGTGTACCACACATGAGGAACCCTGCATAAAATACATGAAAAACTTAAAATACAGATGAAATTAGAGATTCAGTTTACTATATATGAAGTACTTATTGTGTACCAGCCATTGTGCTGGATATTGGTCTGTAAACATGAATAATATAAACATTTCGGGCGCCTGGGTGGCTCAGTTGGTTACGCGACTGCCTTCGGCTCAGGTCATGATCCTGGAGTCCCGGGATCGAGTCCCATATCGGGCTCCCTGCTCAGCGGGGAGTCTGCTTCTCCCTCTGACCCTCTTCCCTCTTGTGCTCTGTCTCTCATTCTCTCTCTCTCAAATAAATAAATAAAATCTTTAAAAAAAAAAAACATTTCATTCATGAGGGGACTTGGTTCCTTCTCTAATATGTTTGGGTATTTGCTTCCAGATCATTTATTGCTTGGGGAATTTTATTTTTATTTATTTTTTTAAAAGATTTTATTTATTTATTTGACACAGAGAGAGCGAGTATGAGCAGGAACACAAGCAGGGGGAGTGGGAGAGGGAGAAGCAGGCTTCCCGCCGAGGAGGGAGCCGGATGCGGGCATGATCCCAGGACCCTGGGATCATGACCTGAGCCGAAGGCAGATGCTTAACGACTGAGCCACCCAGGCGCCCCTGCTTGGGGAATTTTAGAAGTAATGTGGAGATCAGAGAAATATAAGATTGGCATACAAGGAGTCACTGCCAATTGAAAATGTAGGGAGGGCACCTGGGTCGAGCCCCTGCTCAGTGGGGACTCTGCTTCTCCCTCTGCCCCTGCCCCCCCACTTGTGTGCTTGCGCACACGCACACGCTCTCTCTCAAAAATAAATCTTAAAAAAAAAAAAGATATGATTCCTTAAAAAAAAAGTATTAGAGAAAAAATATTAAAGCATTTCTAAATCTAATATGTTAATAGGGAAAGAATAAATTTGGTTTTAAAAATCAGAATGTAGGGGCGCCTGGGTGGCTCAGTCGTTAAGCATCTGCCTTCCGTTCGGGTCATGATCTCAGGGTCCTGGGATCGAGCCCCGCATCGGGCTCCCTGCTCCGCGGGGAGCCTGCTTCTCCCTCTCCCACTCCCCTCTGGCTTGTGTTCCCTCTCTGGTTGTGTCTCTGTCAAATAAATAAATAAACTCTTAAAAAAAAATCAGAATATATGGGGAAACTGGTGCTAAACCATTCATGAACACCCGGCTTCTGGGTTAGGGTTTCATACAAAGCAGAGCAGCTCCCTCTCTGTGATTTATTGAAAGTCAGCCCTCTACGCAAGGGTTTGGGGGAAAAAAACAAACAAACAAACCAAGAACAAAATTTGAAGAAAAAGAAGAAAAAGACAAAAATCAGAATGTAGCTGACTATATAAAATCAAGGCTCCTGCTACACTCAGGACACTGAAAAGCAGGGCAGGTGTGTCATCTCCTTGTTCATTCTTGAGAACTGTTCCAGTGTCACTTCTATCATTCTGAGCCTGTGTGGGAAGAGCAGAGACCTGAGGGTTTACACAGACCAGTGGTTGAGCCCTCCTCTCTCCGCATAACAGCAGTATGACTTGGATGGGCCACTTCACCTTTCTGATCCTCAGTCTCTTTGTTAGTAATAGATTTGGGATCTCTGCCCCATGACTGAGTAAGGAAGATTAAATGAGAAGGTGGATGGGACTGCCACAGCTTGCTTACCACACAGTAGGCAGCCAGACACCTTGTTCACTTTACTCATGAACATGGCAGACAAGTTTTTATGAGCTGGGCTATGCCATGGGTGGTGGGGATAGCTGAGGTGGACCTGGGAAAAAGGCATCTGTGGGACATTGGCCTGAGAAAACTTGAGACTCATTTGATGATTAGGATATGTCTGAGTTTGGGGCGCCTGAGTGGCTCAGTTGTTAAGCGTCTGCATTCGGCTCAGGTCGTGATCCCGGGGTCCTGGGATCGAGCCCTGCATTGGGCTCCCTGCTCAGCGGGAAGCCTGCTTCTCCCTCTCCCACTCCCTCTGCTTGTGTTCCCTCTCTTGCTGTGTCTCTCTCTGTGAAATAAATAAATAAAATCTTACAGGCCATATCAAACCCCATGGAGGCTTTGTCGTGTGGGTATAGGGAGCTGTTGAGGGTTTTTAAGCAAAGGAATGACATGGATTTGCACTCCATCTTCTGTGTTCCCACAGTCTCCTTGACACTCCTCACTGGACTGGATGGCCCCTCCAGGGCAGGATCCTGCCTTTTTTATTAAGTGGAAGACATAACATTTATAATGGCAGAGTCCATGCTCTGGGGTTCCACCCTTGGCTTAATCCCTTCTGCCATTTACCACCTGATGACCTGAATTATGTAACCTCTATGAACCTGTTTCCTCATCTGCTAAAAACGGTGGTCATTTCTACCTTAGAGAGTTTCTGTTTTGTGAGGTACTTACATAGCATGTATGACTTAGTATTAGCAGGTGAAGGTGTTTAGAGTCTTAGGGACCTTGGGTATGACTGCAGGTTAGATTTCTCGAGGTTATAGGTCATTCACACAGGAATCAAGGGAGATAGGTTGAATGTCTTGTCAACTTTTAAGGAGGCACATTTCATTGTTCTTCAGATTTTTTGCAATTTCTCATTAGCCTGCTTTATCCTTTGGCTGGAAGAATTTTCCTGGTGGTTTTATTTGCTCATTTTAGAGGAAGTATGGACTGCTTACCTGCAGTCCCTTGGCAGATGGTTCTCAGGATGCATCCTAGGCTAACAGGAAGCATGAGTAGAAGGAGCATGGGACCTATTCATGTGATATATGGAGAAACCACAGCCCTGTAAGGAAGATAATTGCACGTCCCTGAGAGCCTGCTGGAGATGGCTGTGGTTTGGAGCCCAGGGACGTGGTGGAGCATGTGTGTGTGTGGGGGTACATATGTGTGTTCATATATATGTCTTAAGACTAGTGCTATCCACGCCAAGGTAGGGGCCCATTCGTTCTGGCTTTGATGCCCATCTGAGATGTGTACTAAAGATATCTTTAGGTGCAAAGAGGGGAGTTGAGATGATAAGGGGAAGGCACCTTGGGTTGTAAGTAAGGAGATGTGCTTTTGGCTCCTGCTGTGCCACACATTCACCTCGGTCAAATTGCTTGTCCGGACTGGATCTAAGAACAAGTTGATCTCTACAGCCTTAACATGCCGGGAAGCACAGATGGATGATGACATTGACTTGACCAAATGGTCGCACTCTAGATTCACCCCTGGCAGGGAATTCTGTCTTTATTTTAGTTGTGTTGTGTTCTCTATGATAGAGAATGCTACAGTAACCATCTTTAGGCATGAGGATTTTTGCTTTTGTTGAATAGTTTCCAGAAGGAAACTGCTGGGTCATAGGGCAGGAACGTCATTATACCTGTTGCTGTGTGTGGCCATGTTGCTTTTCAGAATCAGTATATCAACTTACAGTTGTCAGCTATGTGTGAGAGAGCATTTTAGCCCTAACTTATCCAGTATTTAGTATCATTATTATTTATTGTTTTTATAATTTAGCTGGCATAAAATGATACTTTAAAGCTGCTTTATAATAATTAGATGTGTTGTTTTTGGTGTCCACTATGTTTAAGTTGTGCTAGGTGTTTATATTCTCTCACTTCTCACAATGAACCTATCGGGGAAGCTAAGTAGCTCACCTAAATCTGTGAGCTGGGATTTGAACCTAAAGCAGCATGGCCTCAAAACACATTCTCTGTCTTGGTGCCTCTCCATGCTTTGATTTGTGGGGGTGTGGTTACACAGTATGAACTTCAGCTTGTGTGCTTTGCTGCACTTTGAAGTATGTGAATTTTGTATAGTTTTCTTAGAAAATTGAATATGTTCTTTGTGTAGAAGACATTATTAACCCTGTGTTACAATGGAAGCAACAACTGAGGTGCATTTATTACAATTAGGGCGAAGACTCAAGTGAACTCTAGGATATTCTGGTGTCAGGCTCTCTGAAACTGTTTTCTCCCCCATGCAGCGGCCCTCCAGGCCCTGAAGCGCAAGAAGAGGTATGAAAAACAGCTAGCGCAGATCGATGGCACACTGTCAACCATCGAGTTTCAGCGGGAGGCCCTGGAGAACGCCAATACCAACACTGAGGTGCTCAAGAACATGGGCTATGCTGCTAAGGCCATGAAGGCTGCCCACGACAACATGTATGTGGATACCCACTGGTGGGGGGGGCACCTGTGTGGCAGGGCCTCAGTCCCAGGACGTGGCCTTGGGCGACCCTTTGATTTATCCACTCAAAACCTGAGTTTGTTTTAATTTGCATTCTTTTTTGGAACTCCTTTTATTTATTTTTATTTATTTATTTATTTTTTAAGATTTGATTTATTTGACAGAGAGAGACACAGCAAGAGAGGGAACACAAGCAGGGGGGGACTGGGAGAGGGAAGAAACAGGCTTCCCGCGGAGCAGGGAGCCCGATGCGGGGGCTCGATCCCAGGACCCTGGGATCATGACCTGAGCCGAAGGCAGACACCCAACAACTGAGTCACCCAGGCGCCTCTGGGAACTCCTTTTAGAATGGATTTTGTACCCTATTGCCTAAAGAAACAGATCTCAGGGTGCCTGGGTGGCTCAGTTGGTTAAAAGGCCAACTCTTGATCTCAGCTCAGGTCTTGATCTCAGATCACTTAAAAAAAAGAAGAAGATTTCATGGAATGAAACAGTATTTCTGAGTAAATTCAAGGTTATTGTGATGAGCAGAGTTTCTAGCTAGAAAGATCCTTAGAAAGTCCTTTCACCCAGGCCTCTGATTATCAAGGTGGGGAAGCTGTGTCCCAAAGAGGGGAGGTGCCTTGCCCTGAGTTATGGATGAGCTTGGATAGAACTGGGATTAGAATCAGTGTTCATGTCTTTTTCCTGATGCTGTCAGGATCCTGAAAGGGCTTCGGATCTCTCTGTTCTTAAATCTGCTTTTGATGGAATTTTCTGGCTCTCTCAAGTCTTTGGCTGTCATATTAACAATGTTCTTGGGGTGCCTGGCTGGCTCAGTCAGTAGAGCATGTGACTCTTGATCTCAGGGTTGTGAGTTTGAGCCCTAAGTTGGGTGTAGAGATTACTTCAAAAAAAAAAAAAAAAAAAAACTTTCAAAACAGTGTTTCTGACCTCAGCGAGCCTTCCCTTATGTGGCTACTTCTCATGTACAGTGGCCTAAGAAACTAGATAACCAAACTTGTTACGGTTGTAATTACAGGCCAGGGTAACACTAAGTTCCAAATGAGGGCCTCTCCCATGAACAAATTGTGCATTTGTTGTAGTGCTTGGACTTGGCAGCATATATCTGGGGAGTGTTTAAAGTCCTTTTTTACTTCCTTGGGGGTACTCAGCCATGTCAGGGATTGGCAGAATGTTGCCTGTGGGCCTACCACCTATTTAGTAAATAAAGTTTTATGGATACACACTCGTGCCCATTAATTTACATATTATCAATGGCTGCTTTTGTGCTACATAGCAGGGTGAAGTGTTCGTGACAGTTTGTATGGCCCACAAATTCTAGGATATTTCCTATTTGGTCCTTTACAGGAAAAGTTCACTGATCTCTGCTCTGGAAATGTGGGGTTGCAGGAAAAGTAGCCTTTAAATAAGTGAGGTATTACCTGAGGGTAGATGTTCATTGGGCTGAGCTTCCTAAGATAGGTCCACGTCTGCTCCATTTCTATGTTCTCCAGGATGCCTAGCGCAGGGCACATCTCAGTAAACCGCTGTGCAGGCTTTGAAATACATGTGTATGTATTATACTGATTAGTTGTATGTTTGTAAGATTGACAGTGCATAGAAAGTAATTCTGCATGTTTGCCTTTCTTTTGGGCCCTACTGGAGGAGCCATAAGTGCATGTGAGTAGAAGGGAAGGACCTATCAACTGGCACAGCTATGTTTTGTGATCTGCGATTTTATCTCTCCCTGTACAGAGTTACAGAGTTGCCCTTGAGCTTGAAGAAGAGCTATTGGCCCAGGAGTTAAAGTCCTGTAGTCTCATTTGACATGTTTATTACTAGCTCACGTGAGAGGTCATGAACGTGGCACCTAACTTTGCTAAGCCTTATTTCCTGAGGGTGTCGGGCTAGATGGTGTCTAAGAACACCTGCATGCTCTTGATTCCGTGATTCTCCTTTAAAAGGGGGAGAAAGATAATAAAGACAGGCGAGTAATTCCTCAGAGCGAGTAATTACAGGGGATAGGGTGGGAAGCGGATTGTGTGCGGTGGGGTTTCTGTTCCTGCCTCATAGACCCTCTGCACAAAGACTGATTGTCCAGTATGACATCTGTCCATTTCATTTAAAGGGACATCGATAAAGTTGATGAATTAATGCAGGACATTGCTGACCAGCAAGAACTTGCAGAGGAGATTTCAACAGCTATTTCAAAACCTGTAGGATTTGGAGAGGAGTTTGATGAGGTGAGTGGTTTCATGCAGTTCGCATAAGCTTCACAAATGTCACCCGGGCCGCCCTTTGATGTGCCGTTGAAGTCTCTCCGGCATGGTGTATGTGGTTTGGAAATCACCAGTTCTCATTCCTCCAGAGTAATTACCTTGCACATTTCATGGGGGACCCTGGGCTCAGAGCTGGGGCAGCTGAGGTGACCGTTCCTTGTAGAAGGTTAAAGATTTTCCCTTGGGTAACTCCGATTTGAGGTAAAGGTGAAGCCAAGGAAGGAGCATTTATATCTGACCCCTGAGGGATCCATCTGGAGCTCGGCCACCTACCAGTTTCTGCTATAGCAACTAGGATCTCGAGTCTCTTAGGATTTTAAAATACACCAGGCCCTATTGAAGAGATTTCATTCTATGTTAGATCTGCATCTGCTGAAGGCCAGGTCCTCTGCCCTGAACGTAATTCTTTGTGCTGATTCCCACGGTAGCTGGAAAAAACAGCCTGTGGCTCTTAGACTTGGCTCCCAGCACCAGGGTCTTCATGTTTTCAGACTGAAATTTGATGGACTAGTCAAGTTAATTTCAATTCAGCAAATATTCCTGAACATTCACTGAGTGTACCCAGTTCTGAGATAAAGAAAGAGGAATGAAAAGATGCAATCCCTTCTCTCAAAATGCTGACAGCTAGTGCAGGACACTGGATATAGACTTTGTAACTGCCTGATAGGGTATTAGGTTCACCAGTAGAACCATGTTTAAGGTTTGAGTCAGAGTATGGACCTGGAGATCATCTCCCTTCTGACCTTCCTAGAAGGGGTGTGTGTCCTCTGGGTCATCAGGAAAGAGGGACTGTTGCAGCGGGTAGGATTCCCAGGGACATCTCTCTCACTCTTCTGTTTCCTTTACCAGGATGAGCTCATGGCAGAATTAGAAGAACTAGAACAGGAGGAACTAGACAAGAATTTGCTGGAAATCAGTGGACCCGAAACAGTCCCTCTACCAAATGTTCCCTCTATAACCTTACCATCAAAACCCAGTGAGTACTTCTTACCCAGTCATGACATACCCCTAGTGCCCTGTAGTGGGTAATCTTGAGGTTGGTTGGCCTCAGTTTGGGTCCTGAGTTTGCCTAGGATTGAGAATCACAGAAGATCTGTTGGGATGGCCACGGAGACATCATCGCGTGTCTTTTCCTAGTTTCTCTGTAGAACAGGGTTTCTTAACCTCGGCACTGTTGACACAGGTAATTCTTTGGGTTGGGGGAGGGGAGTTGTTTTATGTATTACAGATGTTTACACAGCACCCCTGGGCTCTGTCCAGATACTGGCAGATGTCCCCTGCAGGGTGTGGGGGGGATCACCCCCAGTTGAGAACCACTCTTCTAGAATGATTTTTCCTATGTCACTAAACAAAAGAAAGTTCTAGGCACTGGGAGAAGGGGTGAGAGTTTAATTCCAGGACAGCTGTTGGTTCCTGTCTAATATCCTCTGCTGTGCACATCTGCAAAAACTTGGGGCCTCAGAGGCAGCCACTCTGGGAAGGAAATATCTTTGGCTCTTCTAGAGACATGGTTCTATAAAACTTTCATTTCTTTCTGCCTGCTCCTTCTTCCCCCTCCCTCTTCTGTTATTTCACCTTGGGTGGGTAGAAGTATTCCACATCAAACTTCTAGGAAAGGTACAGAAGTTTGACTTGGCATGGAGAGAGAGCCTGGGGAGCAGTGTAACGAGGCTATAGCCCCCTTACCCTCCCATGTATCCGGAAGAAATGGCCCCTCAAGTTGAGTCGGCAGCATGGTGGTGGGTTCAGGCAGAGGGGGTCCAAACACTGTTTAAGGGGCACCTGTGGGTGTGGAGAGGTGGTTCAAGCCACTTGAGGTGGAGGGGGATTGCTGGCAAGGATTAGATCTCCTCTGGGGTTCTTCCTGATTTCCCCGTCCTTGAATGCTCTGGGACGAGTTCTGACGGACTGTCAGTGTGGAATCCTTGTTTTGCCCGGTCCCAATGCTGGTGGAGCGGGGGTGCCGGGAACGTGTGCCTGTTATCTGGAGTTCTGTGTTGCAGCTTCCAGGCGCAGAAAAACAGTCTGCCGATAGGCTGGAATGAGGCTGGGTGCCAGGGTTGTGCTACATCATGTCTCTAAAACAGCCCTGCCCCTGCACCCAGCCAGAATGTGTGAGAGCATCGTGGTTACAGTGTGGTCACAGCCCTCCTAAGTATCCTTTTCTCCCTTCACACAGCCAAGAAGAAGGAAGAGGAAGAGGATGACATGAAGGAATTGGAGAACTGGGCTGGATCCATGTAACTGGTCCAGTGCGGCTGGGCCCAGACAGACTCTGTTGGCCCGTGCAGCGGGCAGGCGTGTGCGCGTGCGGGGCAGGCAGGACATGGTGCAGGCAGGTTCCATCGCTCCTGAGTCTCCCTCCAAAGCCTTAGGGCCGCATCACTGCTCACTCTCTGCACAGCATGGTCTGCACCCAGCGGGACAGGGCGGGGGGAGGGGGGC